AAAACCAACAGTAGAAAGGAACTAAAGCCACGTCCACAAAACCGAAGCTGTCCCCGCCAAAGTAAGGCTTGTCCCCCAGCTCAGACTCCAATTGCTTGAGGATTTCTATATACTCTTGTTTAGCCTTTTCATGTTCTTCTTCTTTTGTCGTCCATATCTTTCTCCCACCATCGTACATCTAACCGATATATAAATATATATATAGTATATACAAATCAAATATGATCATGTAGTAATCTCCGAAGAAAACGATTATATACGTCAAGAATATATATGTACCTTCTTGTCAACAAAATCAGCCCAGAACCTAGCTTGAGCTCTCTTGTAAGGATCACTGGGCAACAAAGGGGACTTGTCGTCCTTCCAAACCTCGTCTATGTACTGAACAATGATGAGCGACTCGCAGACGGGTTTGCCGTTGTGAATGAGGACCGGGATTTTCTTGTGAACCGGGTTCATATCGAGCAGAACCTGGCTCTTGTTAGCCAGATTCTCCTCCCTGTACTCGTACGCCACGCCCTTTTCGGCTAAGGCCACTCTGACCCTCATCCCGAACATACTAACATTGAAATCAAGAAGGGTTACTTGATCCGCCATTTTCTTGTTTTGGCAGAGAACAATTTTAATGGAGAAGCTTTGAGATAGTGATAAAGAGGCAGAAATCAATTGTGTGGTAGTGATCATGAGAGCCCAAATGGGGGTTTATATATTGTTTTGTTTTTGTGAAGGAGAGAATTTTGACACGTGAGTAAGTCAATTTGGATTTGAATTTGTGGTTTATTGAGATTGTTCTAGATTAGACATTATATGGATTACATTCCGTGTAGGGCAGGGTTGTTCTAGCTAGTTTTGGTTAATATAGTTTGGCAGCAGTTGGTTGCATTGTGAAAGCGAGTTTGATATTTGCACGTCTATTAATACTTTGCGGCCCACTTCGATTATACAGCCATGTATCACACGGAACTATATTAAGTGTAAGACAGAAAAATTTGATACACAAGTAAACTACTAAAAATTTATTTCAGTTTACGGGTTGACTCAAGTGGTACGCAGTTTGATGTTCCTTAAACAAAGCTTCGAGTTCGAGTACTTGTGAATGCAGAAAATTCTTGTTGGGAGACTCACCCACCATTGCGAGTCCTTGTTAATGCAGAAAGTTCCGCAATTCTTGTTGGGAGAGTCACCCACCATTGTCAGGTGTGCTACCCGAGTCGACTAACGAATCAGTCGGTGCAAAGCTCCGGATACTATGACACTACAACAAAATGATCAAATTCCAACATAAAGTTCCAATACAAATAAATTTTAATAGAATTCCAACGGAAATTCTAACAAAAATATTTCCGTTGGAATGAGTTTTTCATTGGAATTTCCGTTGGATTTTGAAGATTCCAACAGTAGATTTTCCAACGAAGGTGAAAATAAAAATTTCAACGGAAATTCTTACAGTAAAAACTGTTGGAAAAATAGTCGTTGGAATCATCAAATTCCATCTAAAATTCCAATGGAAATCTCATTCCAACAGGATATTTTCGTTGGAATCATTCCAACAGAACTACGGAAGCTATACCATTGAAATAACTGTTAAAATTTATATTGAAATATATTATCGTAGAATTTTCCATTGATATATAACATTGTTTTTTGTATTGTGAGTGGGTACCCAAAAAAATATTTCAGTTTGATAAGATTGTATTCATATTTAACTTCTTTGTTCTTTCTACAGTCATGGGGGACCTCATGCGCGTGCTAAATCACGTGTAGCATAACTTGGATTTGGAATCTCGTGACATTATGCTATTATACAGGATGACGTCACTGCAAATGTTAGACAAAGTTCCCGATTATTCCAGTTCAATACAAATATTGATTGTAATTTAAGTTAATTGATTATGATTCTTTCCACATTGACGTGCTGTTGCCTCGAATTGGCTCACCACAACCTCTCGACCGTCTTGTTCTCTACAGACATGCAAAGACGCCAGGAGATGTCTTGACATTAAACCTTCGACGACAAAGTTAGTAAAATGATATAAAAAGTTGTATGAAAAATATGCTGAAAATTTTAGAATATATGAAGTGTGATTAACCTTTCTTACTCTTCATTTTATCTATTTATAGTGAGTTATTGGCTTCTCAAGCACACTTTACACTGCTCGGCTGCCCGAAAGCATGCTCGAGTGACCCAACTACTCGAGAGCTTGCCCAACAGTTATGTCCCTGCCCGTAAAGTCTAGATCCTTCTTCCATGTGTCCCTTATTAATAGGTCCAATTGTTACTTCTTTTGTCTATATATTTAAAGTCTTCATAGGCCTTTTTCATGAATCCTCCTTTGGTCTCTCGTATGCATCTACACTAGGTCTC